TGGTATAACCAGGAATGACTGAGCACAGAACTATATACAGAATATGTATATATAAATATAGTTCTCCAATAACATTTTAATCCAAGTGGGATCATTACCCTTCAACATTTATTCTATATAAACTGTGGTTCCGTGTGCAGTAAGAACTTGGGGGTTATGAAGTCACTCGTACAAATTGTCACTGAACTTTTAAGTCAGACATTTCTCATTGCAGAGATGATTCAACACTGACACCTTGTGGAATTCTACATACATTACATGAGACGAGATTCTCGTCTCATAGAAGTAGTAGAACTAGCAGTAGCAGTAGTATACATCCTGATGTAAAACTTGCATTGTGCTACAGTGGATACAAAAAGTCTATACACCTCTGTTAAAATGTTGTGATGTACCTTTAATGTGACCTGTAGCCTGTGCAATTCGATTAAAAAACAAACTGAAATCATTTATGGAATATCTTTAAACTAAAAAACTATATTGCTGTGATGTATAAGTAATATGTCCATAAGTGTCCAGACCACTGTATGATTTGGGATATGGCTGTGTTCAGAATTAACTAATCACAGTCAAACTCAGTCAGCACAGACCTGCCATCAATTAAAGGGATTACCCACAAATAAATTAATCTGTTCTAGTAAGACTTTCTTGACATTTACTTGTTGCATCTTTCAGCAAAAGTCATGGTCCACAAAGAGGCATTAGATTGAATATCACTGAATGCTTTTTAATCCATTTTAAAAGACCAGGAAATGTCAATATTGACCGATTTTGCAGGTTGTCTTGAAAAAAACAAAAACAAGATGTACCATTGAGAACAGTACAAGTGGAGTGACATTACTAAGAACAGGACATCACTCCAATATTGATGAAAAGACTAGAAGAAAACTGGTCTGGGAGGCTGCCCAGAGGCCTACAGCAACTTTAAAGAAGCAGCAGGTTTTTCTGGCAAGTTCTGGGCTATGGGATACAGTGGCAAGACTGAATCATTATCTTACAAAGAAAACCTACATCAAGTCTCCCAAAAGCATGAGGGGAAATGTGTTGTGTTTGGGGCTGTTTTTCTTCAGCTCGAAACAAACACCAGTTAATTTTGGCACAAAACCCTAAATGCTCTGCTAAAAACCTACAACAACGACCCAAAGCATACCTTCAAATCAACTGATGAATGGCTTCATCAGAAGAGGATTCATGTTTTGGAATGGCACATCCAGAGCCCACACATGCATCCAATTGAAGGTCTGTGGGGTGACTTGAAGAGGGCAGTGCAGAGGAGCTGCCCTCGCAATCTCACAGATCTGGAGTGCTTCTGGAAGGAAGAGTGGGCAAAGATTGCCAAGTCCAGATGTGCCATGCTGATAGGCTCCTACCCAAAAAGACTAAATGCTGTCACAAACTAAAAAGGTGCTTCAACAAAGTATTAGTTTAAGGGTGAACACACTTATGCAACCGCATTATCATATATTTTTTTCTGAATTATAGCTGGAAAAAGTTCTGATGTGATTTATCTTAATCTCTTTTTTTTTTACATCACAACAACTTGGCATTTTAACAGGGGTGTGTGGATTTCTTTTATATCCACTGCATTCATTTTCCTCCTGCTCTTTCTCTCTGTTGGGTCTCTGTTTTTAATATCATTAAAAAAATCCACCATCCTGATGTTACCTGAGATCACTTCTGGAGTGATTTTGGCTGTGTGAATAAATTGATTTGAATAAAATCACAAATTTGTACTTTTTGGTCTCAACTTTCTTCACTTATTATTGAAACTGTTTGTTTTAGTGCCTGTTGTGTTGGCTGGTGGAGTGAAAACACCATGTTCCACTGTTTCTCTGTTTAATTCTTCCTTCTCATTTACCTTGATAACTTTATATGATGACCTCTTCAATGTTATTATATTTACAGCAATTTTAACCCTGCCTCATTTAGGCGATGTAGACTACAGTACATCAGCAGACGTAGTTCTGATTAAAGTCAAATAAATCAGTGATGGTGCAACATTTCTCCTTTACAAACAGAACTGCATTTAAAGATCACATATGAGATGTATTCTCTCTGGGGTAATATTCACTCTGTCTGTTCTCTGTCACTTTGTCTTGGTTATGCTTTAGGCAGCATCTGCCATCCTTCAGAAGGGTAATGATTTAATTAATGTGCTGAAAATAGTTTGCATAAGAAAATCTAGGCTACCGAGTGAGTGTGACAGGAGCTGGTGGCTCATTAGCTATAGTCACTTAGTGGATTACTGTGTAAATAAAAAAACTCACCCACTCTGGAACCTTTCATGTTTCAAACAGATTCTCCCCACTCAGCGATGCACCCGCTGAGAAATCAGCTCTGGTAATTTGACTATAGTCAGATATATTCCTGGGGCCAGTGGGGGCGGCACTGAACCTTATTTAAAACTGCTGGCTGGGGATAAACCTAAATACAGTCAAATTTATTTGGCAGTAACAACAGCTGATTATGCCAGGTCCCAAAAAACGAATGTTGAGTCAATGCGTATGCTTGTCTGGGCCCCTGGGAGACGGCATTCATCCCACTTTGGATGGAGCGGCTCTCATATCTGAATATGAATGATTTTACAGTCAACACCATGACGGTCGAGAGTTGAGACCAGGAGGCAGAGTGTCAGTCTCCCTCAATTCTGTGCATGTCTAAAACGGTCTAAACACTGTGGAAACTGTGTCTGCCCTGGACCAACTAAATGAATGATATCAAAAGTAAACAGACGAGGACTAATACATACAAACCTAATAAAAAACACTCTCATCTAATGTCTGATAAGTGATCATCACATTGATGTATTGTTATGAATGAAACCTGGCTCTAACAAGAAGAATATGTGAGTTTAATTGAACCAAAATCAACACAATACTCATATGGTTTTACTCGATACACAGACGTGGAGGGGTCACAACGTCAGATTGACCCTTTGACCTAAATGTACTCATAGTTCATCTGAAAGCTTGAGCCTCGTACGTCCAAGCTGAACATTTCAGAAACTCCTGGGTTGGGAATTACTGTCCTGAGCCTCAGCTGACTTGTTTCCTAATGTGTCAACAGAAGCTGGGTTCCATCTTGGAGAGTGATGGTTGTGCAACATGTGTCCACTGAAAGTTTGGTGTTGGGTGATTGAATGTGATCACCTGCAGCCCCTGGACTCCACTCCTCAGGTCCTACCTGACCCACCCCCCACCTCTCTCCTGCAGCCTCCAGGTACGAACTCGCTTCCTACCTTGAATGTGGAGGTGAAGGCGGGTCGAGTGGATGAGGGTGTGGGCACAGGGCTTAGTGAGGAGTGAAGGGTGCCACTGTCCAATAATGGGACCGATCCAGATGCAGCCGCGGGGCGACAGAGAGGCGTCACAGAACCCAGCGATGGAGGAGGAGGTGATGGAGGCCGCGCAGAGCCAGGTAACGTCTCCCAGGTCCTCTCCTCGGGTCACCGCGGTGGTTCGCCCCTGTAGGTGTTGAGCAGAAGCTGCCGTGCGTCGTCTCCTCTGCGGCAGCTTTCGTGTCTCGCTTCACCAGCTGTTTGTAAAACACGTGGAGTCGAACATGCTCTGCACCGGGACTCGTGATGACTTGTTCCCAAACCGAGCCGCTCCCTCCGTCGCTGTCTTGTTCCCCTCCGCGGTGTCTCTGTCTCCTTCTGAGGCCGGCAGCAGCTCCAGCAGCAGCTCCACCAGCAGCAGACTGGCTCCAACACCTGCCCCTCACACACCTCACGAAGCTGCCGCCATGTTTCCTGCTGTAGTTTTAACAGGAGACACACATTCACCCTGATGCTGCCCCTGCCCTGAACACACTCTTACACTGTGGTTAAGCTTGTAACACTACTAAAGAGTTTGGACTCGAGGTGATTAGATCCAATTAGAATAAATTAGTGACCAAACACCACAGTTGTGATGTGATCATTCAAAAAAAGTTCTGCATTACTACATAATATGACATCATGTTCTGACTTAGTGATGCCTTGATGTCGTCATTCCTGCCATGCCATCATCAGTTTTTTTGGATCTATATAAGATTTAGTTTCTGTCCATAGCATGACATCTTTTATCAAATGCCATGACATTATATCTGGTTAATATAAGCTTCAACTTGTCTCTGGATTATTTGCAGAGATATCCTCGAAATGTGTTCCTTAGATATTTTTGTGGACCATGGCCTTTGACTGATCCACTCCATAACGTCATCTGGAGATACTATGTGCCCAGTAGTGACATTTTTTTCTCACCAATAACCAGTGCTAGTTATCAGGTAAGAGAAGGTGTTCTATACAGTCATCAATCGTTTGTTGAAACAGTCTTAACGTTCTCTAGACTGCAGTGCAATTGTTACAATTATAAGAGTCTTGCACTTACTTAAACCAGGACATTTAAATGAATTAAAGTTTAATCTGTTAACAGTTAATGTGTTCAAGTGTTCTTATCAGAAAAAAAGTTTTGGCACCTTTTAGTCACTGGAACCATTTTAAAAGTGTAAATTTAACAACAGTATCTGAAAAAACTCAATCCATACCCAACCGGAATCACAACCTAATAATGACCAAAACCCAGGGTATGGTCTACCCAATACTATTATATTAACGTACAATCCAGTTATATATTAGAATTCAATACTAATAAACAGGGTACGTGAATCAGACCAAATTGGCTAAGTTCTGATTATCTGTCACAGGTGCTGTCTCTGAGGAAGTGTTCCCTCTGTTTTTCTGACAGGTCCTGAACTTTGAGCCGGTGCCAGCGCTGGAAACCTGGCTGAAAACAACCAATACACAACTGATTCAAGTAAACGGCCAGAGGAAGTATGGAGGACCACCTGAGGGTGAGAAGCTGCTGCTGCTGCTCAGTGAAAATACTGCGGCTCAAATTTATAGTGCCAAAACAGAAAGGTTGCAAATGCTCGTGGGTGTAAGAAGTGAAGCAAAAATCATTTTATTTGTCATTTCACTTTTTTTCTTTTTATCATATGTCCTAAAAACATGCTGCTGTTGCTGCAGTTGATATTCAAGAGAAAGTCTTGGGCCATGATTAAACTAGGGGGAGGGTGATGCATCAGTACTCACTTAAAAACAGAATACTGTTCTAGGATAGTTTATATCACCAATCCATTAAGTTTGGACATTTTAGGTTTGGACTTTGCAGTCTGGGGTCAGAAAATGAGTCCAAGTCATTTATTTATCAAGCATGGTAGCCCATGATCATCAAATGACAATGGGCATGACAAAGATGAACACATATGTTGAGATCAAATCCAATTATTGCAAAGAGTATAAATGGAATGAGAGGTGTTGGAGGCAGCTGAGCGTCATGCACCACCCTGAGGGCGGCAGAGAGACCAGTGTGTCGTGGTGGTGGCTGAGCTCGCCAACAATCTGGTAAACATGTTGGCTGGAGCTTCATTTAACAGCAGACCACCCTCCTAAGGGCTAAGTGGTCCTGTTGGTCCTCAGCATGTGGCTCTGGTGCGCTCTGATGGCTAGGGAAGATGACACATAGTGACCCACTCGCACCACCTGTGCTCTGCTTCTACAAGATAAAGAGATTTACAGCATTTGTTTGCAATTGTATCATTTGTAAGTTGAAGTGTTTGGTGCCTGATGTGTGATAGTTTTGTACAGGGACTACACACAGTGCAAGCTCAGTGCAACAAAAGTGAGTGTACCTGGGACTTTCAAGCCTGGGTTGAGTCTAATGCAGCGAGGCTCTACATTTGACAGAACCAGTAACAAACAATAGTGAGACTTCATAAGGATGGGACAGGGTTCTGGACTTCAGTCAGCTCCTGATTATAAGCCCAAACACAGTGTCAGCAGCGGTTAGGAGGTACAGGACGACATACTCCTACTAACACTAGACGCAGTGATTTCGATTTTGTGAAGTTTTCACTCAAAACCCTGGCTCACACTCAAATTGACCCTGCTCCTGCGTACATTTTCAGCTTCAGCTCTTCTCCTCACACCTACCCTGTCTTTGTGCTTGTGAAACGTCTGCTCTTGAACTTCTCCTCTGCTCTCTGATTTATTTTCTTTTGCTCTCTTATTTGTTTGTGTCTGTCAGAATTCACCAACCAATAGAATGCCAGGTGTAGGGATGATGGATGACATTTCCCTGCCCTTGAATTGGTTACTTTTGCTGATGGTGTTGTTCCCAATATATACAAAGGGGAAAAGAAACAGGGCATGCCAACTTCTGTGTTGTTTTTATAGTTGCTAGCAATAGTGTTCTCTTGACGTTAAAACATGATATCCTTGACTTTGTGGCTCCAGAAGTATATCTGGTCAACATGGGGCGGTGTTTACTAATGAGGAGCAGACTGTTATATTAGAAAATATGAGGAGAACAAACACATTATCTAGACTAAAAGAAACAGGTACAGCTGCTAAATGCAGGAAGGACAGCAGGTAATGTGTGGACATGTATAAGTCCATATTTTTATAGTTACACTTTCCTATCATTGCATTAATGTATTCTCATTGGGTGTTTAGCTGTTCAGCATTAGTTACGGTGATTTAACCAAGAAGAAAAAAAAAAAGAGCTTCGCAAATCCTGCTATGTAGTACAGGCCGCAGGGATCTGCTGAACTCCTGCTCCATGAAGTTGTGTAATGATAAAGCCATTCTATTGGTTGGGGAAATTTCACAGACCTGTTTCACAATTAAATCTGTGTAGATGACAAATCTGAGAGAAGAAGCAGGGCAAGAGCTGAAGCTGGAGTGCAGGAAATCTAAGCACAAGCAAAATATATTGGAGTGCGAGAGCAGGGTTTTGAGTGACAGTGTAACATAATCTGAACGTGAAATCAAGTCCTACTCTCCAACTAAAATACTACGGTCTTGAATCAACCTCCATAAGTGCAGTGGCTATTACTAATGGCAGCGGCAGTAAGAGAGTAAAATGAAAATCAACTTATTTTCATTGGATTTTGTTATTACTTTACTGAAATGTAGATCACTAAACACAGGTAATTTTTATTCTGTAAGAATGCAGATTGATGGTTAAGTCAGACTCTGTAATACTTACAGTGAATTAGGTTAAAGAAAACAATATGAAAGTATTAGTCTGCATTTAAAATAATCCTGACCTGTGCACATGTTCTCATCAGGGTGTGTATCATCTTGAACTAATGATCATTTTTTAATGAGACATTGTTTTTGCTGCATTCATAATAATTTCTCAAATGGAATAATGTTTGAAATTCGGCAGTGACCATATAAAATGTTATGATGCTCTGATAAAGTTAGTGCATGATGTGATACTTAATTGAAAATGGTGCTTCAGTAAATGTCTCTTTAGATGCCTGGAATCGTTAGACAGGTCCTATATTTCAAAAGGTCAAATAACTGCAGGCTGATTCTTTAAAGGACAAAGTATTAAAGCCAATGCTCCAAGTATTTACTTGACCTGATGATAAAGTGATAGATAAAGGAAATGATCAGGCTCCCATCTGTCCATGTTGCTGTCAGTGTGGAACGGCCCCATCCCAGGAGCCAACTGCGAGGTCTTCATCAGCCAGATCCCACGGGAGGTCTACGAGGACCGGCTGATTCCCCTGTTCAGCTCTGTGGGGCCTCTCTGGGAGTTTAGGCTCATGATGAACTTCAGCGGGCAGAACCGTGGCTTTGCATATGCTAAATACAGCTCCTCGGGTTTGGCTGCTGAAGCAATCTGCCTGCTCGACGGCTACATGCTGGAGCAAGGCTCCTGCATCAAGGTCCGCCTGAGTATAGAGAAGAGACACCTCTGCATTGAGGATCTGCCGGCCACCACCAGGCAAGAGGAGCTGCTGGAGGTACAATGGCACCGAGTTATCTTTGTGATAGCATGACAGGAACTCATCAGCTACATTATCTATCAATCAATCAATCAAAATTAGATTTTATAGCCCATTTTCACAAATCACAATTTGTCTCATAGGACAAGGTGTGACATCCTCTGCCCTAAACCCTCAACAAGAGTGAGGAAAAACTTAAGGGACACTGAGCCGAAACTAATTCAGCCTTGTTATAGATCCTCAGGACTTCTCAGTACTTCTGCCAACTCATCCTTAATTAATGAAATAGTCAATTAATTTAAAAAGAACACTTTGTGCACCTTGCCTTCCTTTTTTGTTCTTTAGTGCCCAGGTTTTGCAGGTTGTTACCATGGAAACGTAGCTCCTATGCATCATTATCTCTGCCAATTATTTGTTTGTCTGTTAGTAAGCAAGATTGCACAAAAACTACTGCATGGATTACCACGAAACTTGGTGGAAAGATGTGGTATGGGTCAGGAAAGAACCCGTTACATTTCAGTGCAGATCTGGATCAGGGGGCCGATCCAGTAAAAACAATTTCACTTTAACATTGTGAGATGTTGTTCAACATTTTGGTGATTTCTCAGAGAATATTTCATGGATCTTGATTTAAAAATCAGGCACGTTGGAGAGACTAATATTTATGAGTGTGCAAATCCAGATCTAGTGAATTTAAATGTGGTTTCTTAAGGGCACTGTTGAGACTTGGTGGAGCATCTCTGAAATGAAAAAAAAAAAAAAGTGAAACTCATGAAACTCATTTATTTGTGCAGGTTCTGCGTGTGCTGACTGAGGGCGTGCAGAAAGTGTCTCTGACAGCCGGGCCTGGTATCGAGGGGGTGTCGGCCATAGTAGCCTTCTCCTCCCACTACACTGCTTCTATGGCCAAGAAGATGCTGGTTGAAGGTAGGTGAGCTGATGCTGATGGAGTTACATGTAAACATGTTCCCATGTATGTTGTCCACTTCTAAAATTGTGTTTGTCTGTACTGGAAATGTTTAATGCCTACACCAGTCATGTGCTGTGCTACCTCGTTGAAATGTAACAATGTTAAATGTAGGAACTCATCTGGTAGAAACACAGCTGATGTAAAGTTGTTCTGCTGTGCATTGTTGTGTGTGTGTGTGTGTATTTTTAGACTCCACTGCATTTTTTTTTAAGTGAACAAAAAGAGGCTCAATGCAGATCTCTCAGACCTTCAACATTGTGTTATGGCTCTGGCTATCTCTGTTAAATATAATAAAGAAATCCCCCTCGACAAACCTTGTCCTAACAATCAGCAGTCATGGGCTCTTTTAAGCAGCTGCATAGCTCTCTGACTATGAAGGTAACAGATGCCCACAGAGCTGGAGCTGCTATTAGAAGACAGAAATGTGTTGTCAGGTAGCGGCATGGTCAGTTTGTAATGTAATGAATAGAAGGTTTTCAGGAACTGTGGAGGTCAAGTTAAGGTTTGGACGAAAACTGCTGATAGGATTGTAGTAAAATAAACCAAACCCATGTTTGTCTGCAAAAGAGGAAGATTTATCAGACTATTTTTAATACTAATAACTATTAGTTCTTATTCATCCAGCATAAAGAAAGTCCTCAGGCAGTGTTTACTAATAACAAAGTGGGTTTAGTACCAAGCAAGAAGTAATGCAACACATTAAAGTAATATGTTTGAGAGTTAAATATTTTAAAGCAAAAATGTCATGAATGTGACTTTCTGAATTATTCTGTACAGAACAGGTGTCTTCCTTACTGCTGTACTTCCTTACTTCTTGTGTCCAGTGTTCAAGAAGCAGTTTGCACTGAATATCTCAATCGTATGGCATCCAGACGAATCGCTGTCTCCAAACAAGCCTCCGAAGAGCCCTCTGGCATCTCCCCTGAAGCCACCATGCCACATCCTGAAGTCTCCACAGCCCTCAGTCCCGCCTCCACATCTCGCCCATCATTCACCCACCCCCCCAAGTTTCTGCAGAGCAGTGGGCGGACCTACGACCTTTTCACACCCTCACTGTCCCCACCACTTCACTTTTTCCTCTTCGCAGGGGGACCGAGTGCCTGTTGAATCCCCAGTGATGCTCCTGAGTAAGGTGTGTGAGGTGACGGGGGTTGGTCAGCCACGCTATGAGATGTCCTACAGCCACACTGGAAGAAATGGATTCCTCTACTTCGACTACACAGTGTGTATCCCCAGGATAACCACTCCTTTCAAAGGGCTGGTCATGACCTTGCCAGGACCCACTGCCAGCACCGTGCAGGAGGAAGCTGGGCAGGCTGCAGCCCAACAGGTCCTGAAGAGAATTTACAACAACCAGTGATCCGAGTGACGAGCTCATCAACGAGAGCCTCCTCCTGTAGCACTGTTCCAAGACAAATGTTAATGTTGTTGAGGTTTGTTAGTTCATTTCTGCATGTTTTTATTAGAGTAATAGTTTGTCTTGTTTAAGATGTGTGGTTTGTTTAAAATGTGTGGTTTGTTTAATGCATGCGTTCTGTGTGTTAGTTTTGGATTGTTCCTCATTTTAATAAATGAGAATTTAAAAAGAATGCAATGGTGTTGCTCCTTTATAGAGACGTGAGTGAGTTGGATGAAAGATGAACTACCCTGTGCTACTGTGTAGTCAGGAGCAAGAAAAAAAAAAACAAAACACTAAAATTGATTTTCATCGACCCTGATAATTTACCTGTAGCACAGCACATACTGTTGTATACACACACAAGTCAAGCTATTTTTAGAGGTTCCTTATTAACTAGTTACTTTCCTTTTCACTATTAACAGGAATCATCAGAGCGTAAAAATAAGGGTTCTGTGAACTGCTCACTTCCTTTTTTGGAACTGGGTGGGCAGAGGTCGAGCAGGGAGCGTGAGGTTCCAACCCTTTGTCTTCTGTTGTGGTAGAAGTTGGCCATTGTTGGCTTGCAAGTTTGTTTTGGTTCAGCATGTCAGATTTATGTGTATATAAAATGATCCTTGTGATGTTTGCAGTAGTTTTATTTAAATTGTACTAATTGTTGTTTTCTTAACCCTAGAATGACCCTTTATATTTAAATACTTCATATTTAAATACTTTATATTTACATCAGTAGTGGGTCCTCTTTGCGGAGGCCGTCATGTTTTTACAGTAGCCCAAACTGGACAAACTAAACATCTTTTGAGTTTTTATGACAACTGAAGGCTACCACAAGTTCTCTGTCATGTTTGGAAGAGGAGGGAAGACATGACACTTCACCACTAGATGTTACTAAATTCTACACACTGAACCTTTAAAGAAATCCAGTAAGAGATTTTAGAGTGGTTTAACCTGGTTTGGAATTTAAATAATGATCATAGAGTCACTGCAACCAATTTACAATAAAGAGAAAATATGAAACTTATTCACCAGGTTATTAGCATGTCCCCTTCTAAAACAATAATATTAAACCTCAGCATGGCTTGATTACACTAAGCATGCAAAGAATGTTTTCATTGTCAGCACAGCAATCACGATGAAGTATTGTGATGACTGATGAATGTGTTTATTTTAATCACAGGACAGAAGCAGCATGTTTGATACAGGAAAAAATGAAGCGTTTTTGTTGAGAGTTCAATTTGAACTGCAGCATCTTATTTACTAACTACCTGAAACCATTAGATGAGTCCTGAGCAGATAGAACACAATTGTACAATGATAACACTGAAAGTAAATAAATGTCTTTCAGAATCATATTACATTTCACTTTAAGTTTATCATGTTTTTTGGATGTTCTTTCAAGACTGTGTTCGCTTTTAAGAGGCACATCATCTCAGACAGCTTCACTGCTTTTGGCTTCATGCTCTGTTACAACATGTAACAAGCACCACCTGCTCCATGTAACACCACTCGAAGTAGCTGCTGTGCAAATGAATGGATGTGTGTTCTCAGAGCTGCATGATTTCCAACATGCTCTGTAAAGGACTAGACGAAAAAGTGATTCTGCAGAGTGTGTGTGTTTAGGCCAATCAGACGTTGTAGAAGTTCAGATGTTGAAGAATAAAGCAACTAGGCCTCAGACGTCCTCCTCCTTATCTCGCCAATGAGATCGGCTCTGGAAATATCAAACTGGACAGAAAAGACACAATAGAGGCAGCAAGATTAGTCCTGAACCATCTTCTGACCAATATCACTTAGACAGACAGACCCCAACACTGTATATCTCACATAACTCATAGGCCCCTGTATAGCATTCAGTTAAATAGCAAGGCTAAAAGTAGCTGCAATGGATAAAATCCTTATTTATGGTGTGCACCATTTCAATGGCAAGATTGAATTCTCATGGAAGAGAATATCGTGTGTACAGCCTGAGCAGGTAAATTGACTCCTGACATTGGTTTCTTTTGTTATTGGACTGAGAAACTAGTAACTGGGAAGATGGTTCACTTTTACTGCCAAGCTCATGATGCACTACATGGTATGAAGTGTTTAATCCTAGAAATCCATTAATACAAATAATCCCAACCCCAGCAATGTCCAATACAACCAGTTTTTGAAGGGGGAGTTACAGCTGTACATCAAAATCTCAGAGTTAACAACTGTACATGATGTCATGGTATTAGAATCATATTGTCCAACCAATTGAAACACTGCACTTTGTATAGTGCAGGTGACACCGGTGAATTTGGTTCACATCAAGCAGCTGCAGACATGTTTTATGATGATTTTTTTAAACTTGTGAAGATAGCTGGATATCATTTATGAAATGAGTTACACACTTATGTGTACTGTGTGTGTGTGTGTGTGTGTGTGTGTGTGTGTGTGTGTGTGTGTGTGTGTGTGTGTGTGCATGCAGTACCTCCTCTCTGGTGGCCACAATGCGTAGTTTCACCACTCCATCTTTAAGCTCCTGTTCTCCCAGTATGGCCACCAGGGGGATGCCTGACTCCTCACAGTGCTGCAGCTGACTTAACAGTTTGGGGTTCTTCTTTTGCATAACCTCTGCCTGGACATACACACACAGAAGTCAATTCCCTGTACCTTTTAGAGCTTCACTGTCATCGTAATCATCACGGGACAGACTGTCAAAGCCTGCTCCTCAAGGGATGAAGAGGACTAAGTAAGTGGGTAAGTAATAATGATCAAAATGTTAAATGTAATGAAACATGTCACACCATGTTAAAGGAATCAATAACAATGTGCAAACCTTAATGCCAGCATTCCAGAGCTCAGTGATGAGTTTGAGTCTCTCCTCCAGCAGGTTCTTCTGAGCAGACGCCACCATCACCTGAACCTCTGTGGTACGGATCTTCACTGCTGACGCCTGAACAACACAACAAAGTTACAGTCTGGACACACACTCAATACATCGATACACTAATTGAGATGTCAACTTAAAAAATTGGAGGAAGACAACTCAAACAGGACAGATTGGCATTAGTGTGTAGGATGTAGTGGCATCTAGTTGTGATGCCGATTGCAACCAACTGTATAATGACAGATGTGTCCGGCCATGTCTAATACTCTAATCTAAAACTAGAGCCCAAACCATACTGGTTATTCTTGCTCTACATAGGTTGCTAAAGGTTGTTGGTCCATTTAGATGATAGGCATTTTTTGTGTTTCTGACAACCTGCTCAGGGATGAAAAGGACTACAAACAGTACAAGTGTATAAAGGAAGAGGTTGTGTTCTTTGCTGGATCAATAAAGACATTCCTATATCACCCCAAGCATCTTTTCTGCTGAATGTTTTATAAAAAAGAAAAGTTATGTCAGTCAACATCTACACCGATACTGATATATCTGTAATAGGCTAATATAAAGTTAAAATAAAACTGCCTAATTGATAGATCAGTCAATTGTTAATTGAGACTTTCTCTAGCGTCAGTGTTTGGTTTGTCCATTCCAATCTGGTCTACTGTAGAATCATGGCACTGAAACAAAGTGTACATAAACCCAATGATTCTGAATACACATAAATGTAAACATAATCAGGAATATTCGATTTTCACTATTTATTTCAGATTACCTCAGCCTTCTGCTCCATGATGGAGAAGATCCTCTCAATACCGATGCTCACGCCCACACACGGCACTTTCCTGCCCTTAGGGTCGAACATGCCAACAAGGCCATCGTAGCGACCCCCTCCAGCCACGCTGCCCACACTGACGCTCTCCTCTGAAGGTGCCCCGTTTTGGGCTTCGTTGGAGACTGCGGCCACACCTGCCTGAGTCAGCACTGCCTCGTAAATAATTCCTGTATAATAATCCAGTCCACGGGCCAGACTGAGGTCAAATACCACCTGGAGATGTAAGAAAAAAAGACCTGAGTATTTGACAAGGTACAACAAAGTATCAAGGAGTGAGTACGATGAAACAAAATAAATGTAAACACTTTTCTTTAAAGGTTCAGTGCAGAATTTAGTGATGTCTAGAGGTGAAGTTTCATGTTGCAGCTGAATACCCCTCACTTCACCCTCCCATTCCAAACATGAAGGAGAACCTGTGGGAGCCTTCAGTTGGCATAAAAACTCAAGTGTTTGGTTTGTCCAGTTTATACGACTGTTAAAAACATGGCGGCCTCCGTAGAGAGGACTCGCTCCTGATGTAAATATGAAATATTTAAATACAAATGGCCCATTCTAGGGTAAAGAAAGCAACAATTCATACAATTCAGATGAAACACACTTGTGAAAACATCACTAGGATTATTTTATATTAAATTTCTGCCAAAAATACCTTTCACCTAAATCTTACAGACTGAACCTTTAATTATTACTATATAACTATGATGCATTTCTCACCTTGTCTGTGACCTGGAAGAGTTGCAGGTAACTGAAGAGCAGCTTGATGTCTGTGAGGCCAGCGCAGGCCTGCTTACTCTGAGACATTTTCTGGTCCTGAAGGAGGCGCTCTGCTAAGTCCATTCCGCCTGCAACACAAAGTTGCCTGTTTACACGTGGAAATTCATTTGGAATTGTTCATCAGCTCGTCTTTAATTGCATCTGTCTGCTGTTTGATTTTGAGCAGGTAGTTCACAGTCTGTCTCTAAATACAGCTTCCTTAAGTCTTAAGATGAAGCCTAAAACCTCAGGTTGAGGTGAGCCTGGAATCATCCTTTAGGCGAACTCTGTGTAAACCACATTTTTGTTAGAAAACTCTGTTTTAAATCTAACGATCTTTCGCTACAGAGGTATTTTGGCTCTGTATCAGTGTTTATCCCCATCCATACTAACACTCCTAAAAACACATACCACACAGACACTCATGCACACAGGGCATGTGCATGTAAATGTAAACAAAAATACATGAGTCCTGCTGGACACAGGAATTGTCTCCGATTGCTAAAATGATATCTCGTCTTCTACTAATGAAAGCAGTTGTATTAATGTGAAATGAAGAAATTGACTGCACAGCAGCTGCTAGCAAAGAAAACAGGGTCAGCAACGTTCGTAATTGACTATCAATGTTGCATTTTACACCGATAGCCGAGGGTAAGGCTGATCGTTTTCTTCTGGAAAGGCTGTCATGTTAGGGGAGCTTGATGAATCAGTGTAGGCTACATCATGTCCAATAAGACCAAATCAGCAACTGGCT